TCAAATCCACTTAAAGATCCCAAACTTACAGTGAGCTTCATGTAGGCAACCTTCTTCTTCTTCCGAGACAGAGAGGGCTTCCATTGACTTGTTTGCAATGGAACTACTAGTTCATTTGACTTAATGGGAATCAAATTGGCCTCTTTTTTTAGAGAGAAGCTTTGTTGTAAGGTATTTCCTTCTTATGATTGATAAAATTATTAATGAAATCAGCATCATGTTGGAAAAATAAAACTAGAACAGAAATCAGCATGCTCATAATTCATCAGTCAAGACCCTCCCCCACTGCCGTTTTAAACTGTATGCTTTATATTAAGTGGTTTTCCTTTCTTATCTGTAACACCAGAAAATCTTCTCCTGAAAAGGCTCTTGCACTGTTGCCTAGTTACAGCATTGTTATGCTTGTTATGCATTTCACCTTCTGAATAATAATGAGGTGTATTTTAGGAGTTCCCTGTTAGTAATCTGAGCATTTTTATACGGTGTGAGGCAGGAATATAAAATAATACCAGAAAATGCAACATAGAAAAATATGCCTGGCTGCTTAGGAAAAGTTTTTGCCTTTTTTGAGATAAGAAAAAACAAAACCTATCCAGCTGTGTATAATTCCTTATTTTTTCATCTGTACTAAGAAAGCAAGGAGAATTTGAACAAGAGTCAGGGTTCTCCATGATACTGGAGATGTGATATTCTTGCCTTGCCTTCTGAAGGAAGTACAGGCAGTCATTGACTTACAATGTTTTGAGTTATAATGTTTCACACTTACAATGTTTATAAATTGACACCCTGTTTCAACTTTATGATGTCAATTTTGACTTTACAACGCTTGATCCAATGTGATGCCACGCCAGTGAACAAGTTCACTGTGTCACTCATCTCCCTGGAGAACATCTGTCCAAACTTCCTTGGACACTTTCTTTAAGAAAGCAACAAGACTCCAGAAAAACCTGCAGCCAAGACTCCTGAGAAGACTCCAGCCAAGAACCCTTCAAAAAGTCCAACCAAGAGCCCTTCAAAAAGTCCAGCAAAGTCACCTTAAAGAAGTCCTTCCAAATCAATATGATTACTATTTATAATATAAATACATTGATGTAGCTATATTACTCATCTATAATTGATCGAGTACAAAATTCTGGGGTATTTGTAGTAAAAACAGGGTATCGGGCCTTGGTTCAGGAACCAATCCCCCATTTATAACATTGTTTCTTATGAGAAAATTGGTTCCAAGTTACAATGTTTTGACTTAAGATGTGGTTTTCAGGAACCAATTGTCATAAGTCTGAGGACTGCCTGTATATATAAAACTAGATCCTTTTTGAATGCCACAGTGTTAATCTAGTTTCTGAGCACAATTTTATGGCCTGCATATATTAATTCAAACCAGGTGATGATAGTTGTCCCTTCTGGCCTAACTGTGAATATTTAAAAAATCAAGGAAGCTAAAATCACTAATTTTGCACTGACTGCTGCTTATATTTTCTGTGCTCTGTACCATTGAACATGGCCTCTCACTGCCGCCTCCTCATACCTCCCATTTACAAATGAGTTGAGCATAAGGTTGCACAACACTACTTCAGGCAAAACAGGAGCCAGAACTCAAGCCTCTATTATGTCAGGCCCGTGTCACATCTTCGTTATCTCTTGGAGAAGAACATTTCAATCCCATGAATTTGTAACTACTTTTTTAAGTGCTGGGTATGCCTTCTTCACAGAGACAGGGAAAGAACCCAAGAACCTAATCTCCAGGATTTTGTTGCCTTGTGGGTTCTACAACATGACAGTGTACGTTAATGTATTAATCTGGGGTAATACAACAATTTATTTAAGTGTCTCATATTTCCCATGAGGTGGGTCATCTACTTTATTAACATCCTATTAGCTGAAGTAGTAGAGGTCCATGCTGGGACTCTGCTTGCCCACAGTTTAAATATTATTGGTCACCCCTAAGAAAGTGACTCTTAAGTTTGGACATAATGGAGTTTCTGTTTTACCATTTTTATCTTTGAGTTGTTACTTATTTAATTTGCACGGTGAGAGAACTTCCTTAAAATCAGTTTTCATAGTGTAAAAATGTACTGTCTGACAGTTGTGTTGCACATATTGTCCAAGAAGTGAGGATTTTTTGTAATCTCTTTCATTGGATTAACTGTATAATTAAAAGAGCTGTTGAGCAACCTTTTGAGCACCAGGTACCCTTCCTCGGATCTGAAGGAGAAGCAGATTCAGGTTGAGCTAAATATCAGTGAAGAGACTCCATGCAAATGCACTCAGTCTGCCTGGATGAAAGATGTCACAAAGAAGGCTTGCCTCTTGGACATTTTATGGGCAATCATGGCTACAACAGTGTTTCAACCCTACTTTAAACATGTTGGTAATACGACTTCCAGTAAAAATTGAAGGGTGATAAGTATGGGAAAAATAAGTAAACAGAGTATGGCCTTTGAAATGTGTAATGAACAGAAGTAAGAAAGTGCTGTTTTTCAGATATCCTTTTAGTGTTACTGCACTTGAAATAGAAGATAAAAGAGTATTTGGCCCACTGGCCAGATCTGACACCCAGCGTTGGGTCATTTGGCCTGGGGGACTCCCCATGAGTCCATAAATGTGGTGGCAGGGATGTGGTACAGTGGTGGCACCTCTCTGCTTCTGCCAAATTTCTGAACCCATGGAGAGCTCTGGACACCAGATAATGTGGCCTTGAGCACTGGATTGGGGATGCAGGCCCTGATTTTGGTGCATGGGGGTACACCCATGGACCAGCCCCATGCCACTCACCTAGCCCACAGGGCCAGAAGACTGAGCACCACTGTAGTAAAAGCACCATGTACATATAATGCTAATCTTAATGCTGTGTGTTTGCATTATGAATATAGTGTTGTTGTTTCAGAGGTGAAAATCTCTTGACAACAAATTAAGCTCTGTGGGGTATGAGGTTAGCAGCCAAATAGTAATTTAGCTCTGTTATTTGCTTTTCTTATTGAAGTTACTAAATAGACTCCATGGCGGAGAAAGTACCACCTTCTTTTGCAGAAATATCAGGAAAAGAAGTCTCAAGCTATAAAGATGCCTAAAACCAAATCTGACTGCCACTTCATGTTGGTTATGGGGAGACTCTTAAAAGACCAGATACTACTAATCTTACTTTGAAATAATTCTACTTAAATGCTGACAAGAATTAACACTGCAAAAATCCATGACTAGTATGGCGGGAAAATTAAAAGAATTTTCTCTTTATATATATCTCAACAGTTGATATTAAAGTTAGTGAAGCAGGGAATCTTAATGATAGAAGACAACTTTCAGTAGAGCAGAAACAGAATAGAATTCAACTGGTTTTATGACAAGACAACTGGAACTACTGGAAAATAATATCAAATAGAAATAATAGATTTCCACCTGTGCTACCAAGCAAGCAAGTGCAGATTCTACTGTCTGTTTGTTTATAATGAGGAATCTTCAATTTGTTTGTTTTACTTTGATATAGAAAAGTATTTTTTATTTGGTGAAAAAGAAATTCAGTTTCCATCAGAAATATTAGATCAACAGTGAAGCTATAATTATGTCTGGCAGACAAGGTTCTTTGGGTGAATATGATATCTTTTATTAGGCCAACTTAAATAGTTGGAAAAAAAATTTTTAGCAAGCTTTCAGGTTTAAAAACCCTTTGTCAGGCAGAGGAAGCCTCTGCAGTTGGTGTGCGCTCTTCCTGGATGGAATGAATAGTCAGGAAGAGTAGTCATCCAGGAAGAGCACACACCAACTGCAGAGGCTTCCTCAGCCTGATGAAGGGTTTTTAAACCCAAAAGCTTGCTAAAATTTTTTTCCCAACTATTTAAGTTGGTCTAATAAAAGATAACATATTCACCCGAAGAACCTTGTCTGCCTGTGTCCTTAGACCAACACACCTACAACCTACATCCCTATAATTATGTTTGTGCATTATAAAGCCAAGATAACTGTGATGATTATGTAAAACAGATCCTGCAATGTAAAATGTGTTGTTTTTTCTTATACTAAAAATATAAAAAGAAAATGGATTTTAAAGGAGGGACTTTCAAGATGGAGTATGGGCATCTTTGGGACACTAAATTTATACAGAATACATGGAGGAAAATAGGTATTCAACATTTTAAATTCTGAACTTTCCTTTGGGCTGATGTTGGTAGCAGTACTTACAACAGAAGATATTCTGCAGTTGTTTCTGTAGCAGCCTATACCATGCTACCAGAGAGTAAGGGAGTTTAATGTAGTAAATGTATTGCTCAAAATCCTATGTAGGACACAGGTGAGCTGTCTGCTTTTTTAAATAAATTGGGCTGCCATGTGTGAAATGTGGTGCTGGATTGGTGTCTGGGTCTCCTTTTTAGCTTTAGTTTTTAAAATGTTGATATTTCCGACAATGTTCAAAGATATTATCTGTCTCTAAATAAAGATTCTGCTCCCTGTACGCTGAAAATCAGCTCCCTCCAGACAGCATCTGTAGCATCATTAAAATAACTTTTCTACACGTCTACTTAAAAGTCAAGCCAAGCACACTGGGTTTCCTTGCAAACAGGTTCATACATAATGGTACACAGCACTTACTGTTAATACCCCACAGAGTGCTGGTGCAGTTTCCACTCTGACTGTATGTCCAGAAATATGTCAAATTTTATATTAATTCTGCTTTCCATATGAATTTTTAGATGCCAGTATATAAATGCACCGACTTACTGTTCTGTGTTTAGTTAGCTTGTTTTACCAAATAGCTCTTAATTATTGAAGTTTTGTGGATTTCTCCCTGACGTTACTGCACTGAGCTTACAACAGGAAATAGTCTGTTTTGCACATTCTTGAGTCAAGCCATTGGGTGGCTGATGTCCTGGAAAGAGACCTGTGTTGTTGTAAAATGTGCTCATGAAGATCATTTACAACATTGCAGGCTATTTTTGTCAGTTATATTCATTTAGATTTAAAACATCATCATAAAAAACAGTGTACCTGTTTTTCTTCCTTAATAGAAATCTGGTCAAGAAGTACTGTCCTAAACGTTCATCCAAAGAGGAAGAGCCCAGGTAAAAAAAAACCCAACATATATATATATTTAAAGTTCCAAGTATAAATAGCAAACACTACTGTTCATTGTTTAATATTTATTGTCCTGAGTGAAGCTTTTCCTGAGTAAATATTTTGATAGATCAGTTTAAAAAAATAAAGTAACAGAGTCAGAATCTTTTCTACTTGAGGTTTTTTTTGTTCTATTACAATTTTGAAACATAATGTGTAATATTTTGTGTTTTCCATTGTTGTTTTAAATTATATGTTATTAAAGTGGTAATTTGTATTAGATGCTTTGCAAAGTAAACCTAATTTAGTCCAGAATTAGAAATGATTGTTTAACACAATAATTACTTTGTTTTTTTATAGGAATGGGGAATGGGAATAGCCCCTAAGTTGTGGGTTACTATTTTTTCCCCTTACAAAATGAATGAACTCTTTGAGAGGCCTGGTAACATGCGGAGTGTAGCTTTGCAGACTTAGGTTCTGAGTGATTAATGAATGATCTTTTGGCTAGTGGAGTTCAAGTATGTTGCACTGGTAACTTGGTTGGCTCCAGAGCCAGAGCAGATTACAGTTGTGTTTTGTAGTGGCAGCAATCTGGATGCAGCCAACCTCACAATTACCAGTTTAAGAGCTGAGCTTGCTTTGCTGTCTGTACTCTTGCTGATTCTTTGATGGCTGGCTGAAAGCACAGTTGTTATTTTTAAAAAATAAGTAAGGGCCTAAGAATGAAAGAATGTTGAAAAGATGGGGAAGCGGTTAGCTTAGATTTCAGATTGCAGCCAGGGACATACGGTGCAGTGTACCTTAAGGATCCCCCAGGAACTCAGTTTTATATGAAGCTCTTCAAAGACGCTTGGACCTCAAGTGTCAGGATTTCCAGCTCTCCATTGGAGTTCAGCATTTGTCAACCTCATGGACATGGCAGTGTTCCACAATTAAAAAAAGAAAATGCCTGTTTTAATATAGTGACTGTTTTTGTTTCTTTCCTCCCTTCCACACACACTTTCTACCCTTATTTTTGCCCCTCCTCTTTCCCTCTTTAGTGCCAGCCATAGTGGCACCTAAACCTGCAGCCAAGAGGTGGGCAGGCAAGCAGGCAGCTGTCTCCAGAGCTGATAGCAAGCTTATTCTGTAGACCATCCATCCGGATGCCTATCAGTGGCATGAGTGGCATGATTGGCATGTTCCACCCACGAGAGCAAGCACATCATCTCTGCAACAAGTTCAGCCTCTGAGCCTAGGGACCTAAATTTATTCCTAAACTCAGGCCTCTCAGTTGGCAGCTTAGGAGATACCAGTATACCACAGGGTCTTCCAGGTAGTATTCTTATTCTTTTTTTTTCCACCCACAAAAAAACCTGTGTTCTTATAAAACTCTGTTAGAACATGGTGCATCCTAGGCTCAATTTAGGTTTTCCCCACTGTGTATTTCCACTAGAATTCAACTAGTACTAAGTGTACACTTATTTGACAGTACATCTGCTTTGAACACACAGTGTTCTCTTTTTGTTTAAGTAAAGATATCTATAGTGATTGTAAAAAAAACAACCCAACATATTTCACCATATCTTTGTAATATGTTTTGTCAGGTTTACCACGTGTCTAGCCTTTTTTAACATCCTTAACGAGTTAAATGACTATGCAGGACAGCGAGAAGTAGTTGCAGAAGAAATGGGACACAGAGTATATGGTGAACTAATGAGATACTCTCATGATCTAAAAACAGAAAGGAAAATGGTAATTCTTGTATTCTTTTCCAATAGTTACATATAAAATAGCTGTTTTTGCTGAAATAATCTGTATATTTGTTTACTGGATCAGTATTTTTAAACGTGGCAGCTATAATTGTTCTTGATACTTTTTGTCTGTGGCTTAAAGTATATTAAATTACTCTCCTTGAAACGTATGTGTTGGTTATAGTTGTTCTGAATAAATTTACATAGTTGAAATGCTATTTAGAAGATTGTGTTTGCCAATAAATTTTAAGTATGAAGGTAACCTTGGTCTGTAGTGCTGCTCTTGTATAATTGGTCATAGGTCCCAGGCAGTATCCTGATAAATTAGAAAACAATTGTCACAGCATACAGAATGGAAGCTTGCACAGAAATTGGCAATGTTAACACTACCTGTGATTTTATTTAAAAAGAAATCTTATTTGTGGTCTTCCAGCATCTTCAAGAGGGGCGAAAAGCTCAGCAGTATCTCGACATGTGTTGGAAACAGATGGATAATGTGAGTTCTTCTGTCAACATTAATAATGTACAGTCTATAGATAACTGATGTCATCATGCTTGCTTTATATTTTTCATCTGTTTGGGTTTAGGGTTAAGTTTCATATGACTGAATGATCATGTTAGATATATTGTTTAATAACCCAGACAGAATATAATGAACTTGTAGTTCATTGCACAGTTAATCTCTGTGTAAGTATCTATTCTACATAGGAGTCAAACCCTTGGGATTTATGTAGCACAGGCAAGTAGATTTCAGATATATTAGAATTTTCTTGAAAACAACACTCACTTCTATGCCCTGGAGCCATATAGTGGCAATGGCTGGGAAAGAATTGAATAAGAATTCAAACTATTAACTGTCAGTACCTTTCTCCTGGCCTGCTGTCACCTGCAGCCACATACCACATGCTTAACGATTATCTTGTTATGTAGGGCAGAATTTCACTAGCTGTGCTATTCCTTTTTAATACATTCTCATAATTTTTCTGCTCTTCCATCATAGTTTTAGTAACTTATTTTAGATCTTGTTCTTGCTATTTATCCTAAAATTCACCCAGCTGTAAAGTGGGTTTATTTAGGTATCATTTCAGAAGTTGATGCTTTAAGAATGCGTTGTTTCATCTTTGATTATAAGCCACTGTAAGCCTTTTTGGGAGTGGCAGCATATAAATCAAATGCATAAATAAATCTGTAATTAGCATTGGGCTTGATTTTGATGGCTTGTAACAGGAGGTCTAGTCAGGAATGATCAGATTATCAAGCTCCTGGTATATTTACTACCCTTGCAGGCAGCATAAACTCTGTTAAGCAGAGGAATGCAAGAGGTGAAGTTCTCCAGGGGTGTTGATCAGTTATCTTTCTTTTAAAGTTCCTGATTAAAAGATGTTCATAACTTAATGATGCATCTAAAGTTATATTGACCCAGGTTCTCTTCTGTGCCAGCACTTATCATCATAATAGTGTTGGCAAGTTCATCATACACTTCTCCAGGAGTTGGTATGCTCTCCAGCTATGTTGAGATCAGCAGTCTTTGGCTACAGTCAAGCAAGAAGGCTTTGTCCACACCATGAAATCTTACTATGTCTGAACACTTTTGTCAGCAATTATGTTAGCTGATGTGATACCAAGCATGGTTTGATGTATACCATCTTTAAGATCATGTCGGAGGGTATAATCCAGTGAGTTAAGACAGGGCTGTCCAAATGAGGCCCATAGGCTGCATGTGGCTTCTGAGGGGTTAAGTTGCAGCCCCTGGGGTCTTACCTGGCTGCTACTCCCCCACAGCCCCAGGTTTGAATTGCACTCTACTCTTGTGGGGGGTCTGTGGTGGTGGCAGCCAGAAGTTGTAAGGAGCTGCTGCCACCTAAGCTGCTGAGAAAAGTGCAGGGTGGACTGGGGGCTATCATTTTTATAGGGGGCTCAGCCCCCCCCCCCCCAGCCCTTCCATGTTTTGAACCCTGCTCCCTACATTGCTCTGGCTGCAAGAGCAGCCAGAATCTCTGGGTTCCACCTCTCTCCTTTGGCTGCCTCTTCCTGCCCTCACCAGGGTGGGGTGACACAGAGCAGCACAGGGAATTGAAGGTGAGTCCAGGCTGGGTGTAGGGAGGTTGCAGGGGATTAGAGCTGTGCATTGAGGGGAGTTGCACTTGTGGGGCAGTGGTGGGGGTGCTGCCTGCAAGGGCACACTTCACAGTGGCAGGAGGGAATTGCACTTGCGCAGTGCAGCAGTGAGGAGGGGGTGGTGCAGAGGCAGTGCAGCAGTGTGTATGGGGGGGTTGTCCTCACAGAGCATTTGGGGGTGAGGGGGTATATCTATGTGGTGCGGGGCCCAAAGGAGGAGGGGCACCTTGCCTGGTGTGGTCCCCACTGATGTGGCCCCTGGGGGCTTAGAAGTTGGGCAGTCCTGAGTTAAGACAAGGCTGAGTGTTGTTTGTTCTGGTCTATGCTGATTTCTAAAACATGCACATCAGTCTGTCAGTGAACATGATTGTTGACCCAAGTGTCTAAGCATAGTAAAATATCAAAATGTATATCTGGCCCACGTAACTGCCTCTGAAAGGCACTGTAATATGGATGTTCAATTTCAAATAGTTAGAAAAAAATAAATCCTCAGACTATACAAATATGGGTCCCTGTAGGGAGTTTCCTACTACTCCCAATGCTGGTCATCTCAGCCTAAGTTAAAACCTGGACATAACTCTTTTAACTCGGTGCAAGCTTCTATAATTAAGGGTTTGGTATTTTGGTTACTTGTATAATAATTTTGTAGCCTATTTGGACTGGTTCTGTGCTGGAACCTTATTAAGGTACATGGCGTAAGTTCCAGGCTCTGGAGAGTGTGATTTGGCTATAGACCCAAGAAGACAGTAGTAGTATAATTTTCAGAGACTATTAAGCTAGAGAAATAGAACTTTAAATGGAAGCTTAGATAACAGCCATTTGAAATTCTTTGTAATAATGAGGTTTTTGTGATTTTTTTTTTTTTTTTTTTCAGAGCAAAAAGAAATTTGAGAGAGAGTGCAGAGAGGCAGAAAAGGCACAACAAAGCTATGAAAGACTGGACAATGACACTAATGCTACAAAGGCTGATGTTGAGAAAGTAAGAGCAATAACATTTCTTCCTCTCCCTCTTCATTAGAAAATGTTGATTCTTTTTATTGCCTTTTTTCTTTTAGCAATATTGGACTGGCAGTATGTGTGTATGTTATACACAGTATCAAAATTACAGTACAATTCATCCTTTAAAACTTAGTGCATAGTGGCGTGAGGGGAAGTATTTCTGCATTTTTTAAGGTTAGTTTTGCATATCTTGCTGCTCGTAGGAGCAATGGCAAGATTGCTCATAATATGTACACAGAAGCACTAGCTGGGGTGGTTCATTCTTATGAAGCTTACATTGTTATGTTTGAGTTTCTCCTTCTAATCTGTCATTAGTCCAGGTGGTTAAAGATGGAGTTAGTGCTAGTTGCTAACCATGTACTGACAGTACAAATTTGATGGTGCTTGCATCTCTTCCATTTGTTTTCTCAAACTGTAAGAGGGAAGCATTTAACACTTTACAGCTATTGTGACTAATGTTCTTATGTGATTACTAGGATTAAAGTAACACACTACATTTTTTTGGAAGAACACAAATGAGGCATGTTTTTACTGAAGTGACTTTTTATTAGGCTAAGCAACAATTAAATCTGCGTACACACATGGCTGATGAAAACAAAAATGAATATGCTGCACAACTACAGAACTTCAATGGCGAACAACACAAACACTTCTACATTGTTATTCCTCAGATATACAAGGTACAGCAATATTTACCTAAATTGTTTTCTCTTTTTTTGAGGGACAAATTGATTTCAAAACTTAAATTTTACCTCTGTCAGTTTAATAGATCACTTATGTCACTTAAACTGTCCTAAGGTACCTATAACATGTCATTCAAGGTTTTTATTAGATAAGATTTGTTTTATAGCCATTTAGGTTTAGAAATTTCACTAAAATATGCTGTTACATTTTCTGTTAAAATTGTTGTAAACTTTAGGCTTTCCTTTGTTTGTTTAAACACTACTAGACAAATAGGCAGAAGAAGAAGTAAGGGGTATGAGACTGCTGATTGAGCAGATGCTTAAAAGTCTCATTCTAGTAATGTCAGGCCCTTCCTTTTTTTGATGTGTTAAATTTAAAGCTCCTTGTTTCCCAGTGAGAGCTATGTCCTATGGCTAATACACTTGGGTATGACTTGGTATACCCCAGCTGTAACTACTGGCAGGGCAGAATGCAGGGACCCCTGGCAGTAAAGGCTGACCTAGGTAACAGTAATCCACAAAGTCACATGGAGTAAACAGGTGAAATAATAACTCTGCTTAAAAAGGATAAGGGGAGACTTACAGCAGTGTAGCTGAATCCAGGGTCACAGGTTTGTCTGTTTACTTTTACCTGCAGTAAGTGAAACTGAACTGCAGTAATTTACTACTACAGTGTAGTAGGGGAGGACAAATGAAACATATATGCATCTAATTCAACTTGCGTGCCCTCCCAAGAAATACGCGTTCTTCTTTTAAAACTCTGTAAATTATTGTTGGCCCGTGCAGACTTTGCAGCCAAAAAAGAATTCTCTCAAGCCAATTTATGTATCCCTCTTAAAAAAAATAGAAATGATTATCTAAAACTTGAATGTCTTGTAAAACTCATCAAATAAACGTTGAGCTAGGAATGGCATCAGTTATGAGCAATCAAATCTGTTAGAGGCATTTGGGAAAGAATGTCACAGAACACTGCTGTGAATCTCTGAGACAGAAGAAAATTGAAAACCTTGAACTCATTTAAACTTGTAATAAACTGAGAACACTTGAGATTTTTCAGAAGCTGGGGAAGGGTCAGATTTAAAAGGAGTATTTATTTGAAGATCTAGGTTTCACAGAGAGAAATTTTCCTTCCTTGTGAAAGACTTAAAACAATTTGCCTGTTAAGGAATGTGCCAGTGGACTTGACAGGAGCAGACTGAGGAAGAAATTGCAGCCAAGTCCCAAGAGGAACATTTTGATCTTTTTTGTTGTTGTTTGTTTTTGATCATTTGGTTTTTTTTAGTTTGGATTGGAGACTTGCTTTATTACCTTTATTTCTCCAGGGTCAAAATCCATTTTTATGGTAAGAAATTAATCATGTTTCTTGGAGTCTCTAAGCTAATACAATCCCAAAAACTTGCTTTTGCAGAGTAAGCCTTCCTCTTATGATTTTTTTCATTATTTCATTGGAAGTGTTGGGTAACGTTGTAAGCTAATACTGTTTTTTTTTTCTATGTGACTTAACTGGTATCTTAGATTAACTAATAGCAGGGGGGGGTTTAATACATTTTTATAGTTTGTTTTTAAGGAGGGAGTGGAGTGAATGTCCATTCTCCATGACTGCCGTTTTCTGTATATCTTTTACTAAGTCTGTGACTTTCTTTAAAAAAAGCAATTTTTTTCTCCAATTATCCAGTTACATCAAGCTATTAGTACAAAGTGGTAGAGCATTCAGGACTCTGTTATCAAATGGCTACTATAACTATACCTGTATATTAAACAGGATAAAATAGCAATATTGCTCTCAGACTCATTTTTATCTCGTTTTTTTTTGTAGCAACTACAAGAAATGGATGAACGAAGGACCATCAAGCTTAGTGAATGCTATAAAGGTTTTGCTGATTCTGAACGAAAAGTTATTCCCATAATTTCTAAATGTTTAGAAGGAATGATTCTTGCAGCAAAATCAGTTGATGAACGTAGAGTAAGTGTATTTAGCTATGTTTTAATGTACAGAAATTAATCAACATGAAAGACACAAGACACATTGAATAGCAGGAAGTATACACTAAATTGCGTGTGTGATTTGGTCCACATTTATCTGAAATGCGTAATACGTGATTATACACAAAATTATACTTAAGATACTAAATTATAAACTTGGTCCCACAGACTTTGAAATCAATGGGAGGAGTTTTGTCATTGGATTTAAGAGAAACAAAATGGGCCTTAAGATACTAAAATGTGCAATGTGTTTGTAAAGGGGATTATAAATATATTAAGAGTGCATTTTTCATGTGTAATGAGAAATTTTTATAAAATGTTTTACTTGAAACCTTGCTAATTTATCTGAAATTGGATGTACATTCATACAGACACATGTTCCACATCTTTTACTCTAGATACTGTATATACAATATTTGTTCTATAATATTAATACATAAAACGCTTTTGAGCTACAATAGAGCATTATTATTTTACAGATTGAGAATTTGATTCAGAGGAGTAAAAAGGGAGGAGTGTCAGCAAGACTCTAATTTTGAGTTCCGTTTTCTAGTCCTGTGGTTAAACCCACTGATCCTTAATTTGTCACATTCATTTCGACAGTACTACAAGAACTATCAGGAGCAGTGCGACTGTAAACATAATTATTCCCTTGATTTGCTTGCAAGAGGATTGATTTTAGGAATCATTATTTATGCAGTCCATGTTACCTCTGTTGTATTTTTTTATTTAGAGCATAGCCAGTGTATAAAACAATGTATAGCTAATTAAAAAACAAAACAAAACCTTGCAATGTCTTTTGTATCTAGGATTCTCAGATAGTGATCGACTGCTTCAAGTCTGGTTTTGAACCTCCTGGAGACTTCCCATTTGAAGATTACAGTCAGAATATTTACAGGACCATCTCTGATGGTACCATCAGCACACCAAAGCAGGAAGGAATGAAGATTGATTCAAAAACCACTGTGGGCAAGGCCAAGGGCAAGCTGTGGCTTTTTGGAAAGAAACCAAAGGTAACATTTATGAAATTACTAATTCCAAATAAAAATCTGTTTAGGATTTGGAGTTTGTGGTGGCAGAAATTACTTTTTTAAAATCAGGTTTGTGCCCTTTACTATTTTTAAGTCTTTTTAGAGAGACCTGACTCAGATTGGCAGAGTTCTGATCTCCCTGATCCTAGAAAACCAAGAATGGCAAGTCTTGTCGTCTTTATTTTTGCTGATGTTGTTTCTGAAGGATGTAGAAAATTGGACTAGAAATATTTAATCAGAGACCTTTTCCTCCAGCTGTTTACATTTAGGGCTTCTTAACACCTATTTAATATCCTACTGAGTTTTAAGTGGTCTAAATAAAAGTCACTTTCCTTCTCTTCCTTAGTAGCTATAATGATTTCCTGGCATTCCAAAAAACATAGCAGAGAAGCTATTAATTGTTTATGTGAAAGCAAGCAGAAAAAAGATCCATTTTTTTCTTTGCTGTAGTGAACAAACTAACCTTCAGGTCTACTTTGTACTGTAAGAAAGGCACAAACCCATTTTCCCCTTTTTATGCCACCTTTATGAATATGCGTAGGGGTACCACATGGACTCTACTGTACCTGTTGCTAGTTTTGAATGTTTGTGACTATGTTTCCATAAAAACACTTTGTTTGAAAACATTAAGGATACTGTAAAACATCTGATTGGTAAACTTTTTGATTTGTGTAAGTTTGGAAGGGCAGATGCTTTCAAGAAAAAATTAATGAATGAGTAGCTTTATAGAGAGCATTGGGAAAAGGTATTAGAATACAGATGTTGCTCTTTTTCTTAATATTTTGCTGTTGGTCTTAATTGAGGCTTTCTGTGTAAAATGCCTTCCTCACCCACCAGCAGGGGTCACTAATAGCTGTTGCCTATCAAAAGGAATAATTAAATTCATGGATATTTATTTGAGCTCTTGATTTGTCCTATATTAGAGCATATCCATACATCATTTAAAATGTTTTTTACACATTTGAATGAGTTTATTCCAGTGTTCCCAGCCAGTAGCAATGTAATGAAAAAGAATTTTTTATTATGGTAAGAGAACTACCCTCGGGACCTTTTATAAGTTGGGGCTGATGTTTTTACAGATAATGCTCTAAACAGACAGGCCTTGTCAGGGGAGAGAAAGGCAATACAGTATAACCTCATAAATCCGGATATCAAACAGCCAGAATTATTGAAAATCCGGCACTTTTTAAAACTACACTCCAATGGGGAGTAGTGGCAGCTGGTCCCAGACCAGCGGAGGGGGAAGCTTGCACACAGCAGCTGCTGCTGCCATCCCCCCCCCCATGCTGCTGGTCTGTGTGCAGCCGCCATTCTGGTGTCAGAAATTCACATTTCTGGCAGGTGCTCGGTCCTGAGCATGCTGGATTCATGAGGTTATACTGTATCTGATTCTTGTATCCTCTTCAAAGTACATTTTTCCAGTGTCATTGTATATTTATCAAACAAAACCTACATTATTTATTTTTCATCTACTATGAGGTGTGCGAAACCGGCCATATTCGATTTGTTTGGCCTGAATTGGGGGACAGTGATTCGATTTGTTGATTCAGATCACTGTCCCGATTTGATTCGGCTGAATTCAAATCTGAAGATTTGATGCTGATTCAGAAAATCAGCAATTGGGCCATAGACACAGCTTTAAATGTTTTTTTCTACATATCTCAAGGTACCAGGCACAGCTCGTGAATGCTGCGATGGTGAGACAGATGGAGCATCCCACAGGAGCATGGGAGGGGGTTGGACCATGTGTGCTTGGCAGCAGACCCGGAAGTGGACTGGAAGTACTTCTGGTCCGCTTCCGGGTCCGCCACTGAGCATATGGGGGACCCCCCCCTCCACACCCCTCCAGCTCAGCAGCCGTGGGGGGACCCCAGGTGCCCCCCCCCGACCCAGGAGGCACCAGTTGTTGGGGTGGGGGGGTCCCCTGCGCGCACTGCGGTGGACCCAGAAGTGCTTCTGGTCCACTTCTGGGTCTGCCGCTGAGCGTGTTGGGGACCCCCTCATGCTTCCATCTGACGCTCCATCCACCCCAGCATCTCAGCATTCACAAGCCACCTGGTACCTTGAGGTATGCAGAAAAAACATTTAAAGCTGTGTCTATGTCCGAATCATTGAATCTTTCGGAATTGATTTGGAGGGTTCTGATTTGATTTGGAGAGATTAAAGGGTCTCCTGATTCAATTTAGATTCGGAGATTCAGCTGCCGAATGAGGCCAAATCTCTGCCTAATCAAATCAGTAACTGAAACTTCGCACAGCCCTATTATTAACTATATCACAACATACTGTCTTCGCATTTGGCTAAAGAGCTAGGTGCAAAATTCGGACTGAAACTTACAGGGATGCTGTCAGTTTGAAAATGACACTTCTGAAAATTTGGGGCCAGGCTCTCAGTGAAGCTCTTTAAAGGTGTCATGGGTCTGGCCCATTGTATCTGCTTTAGTGACAAGAAATACCTAAAAAGACTATGGTTGGAAGAAATTAGCCAGGAAAGTTGTTTTTATTTCCCCCACCCCCGTTTGTTTACTTTGCACATATGCCAGCACTTTGGGATAGTCAGATTCATGGTTTCCTATGTAGAGTCAGGCTATGATTCTGCAAAGACTTAGAGGGGAGCAGTGCCATTGCACAGTGGGACAACTCCAGTGTATAAAGTTACTCTTGTGTAATGCCTAAGTCACTCTTTTTCATATTACAAAAAAGAACAAATGTGACAAGGGAGTATAAAAATCTCTTGTAAAGGATTCTTTAAATCAGAACACTAGTAAAAGAATATTATAATAAAAGCAGTATACTTTTTAAATCAGAAAAAAATTTGGATTGACAAATTGTAACTGGATATTAAAGGTAGTCTTTGTGACTTGTAGCAGTGATTATGGTTGATCTTCACTTGTATTTCAAGATACACTTTTGACCTGTTTTTGAAAAGAAATTCAAAAGAAACAGGCAGTCTTGAAAGGGGGAGAACTATAAAGGATGGAGAAAAGGTATAACAGATAAGGGAGGAGCAGCTTGAGAGAGAAGCCAGGGAAGATGAGACAAAACAAAAGGTAAACATAAACAAAACAACCCGCCAAACAAAAAATGAAATAAAAAAGAAACTAAGTAGTTGTAATATGCACCTACCTGCATCTGTGGCAGTGGTTCCTCACAGCTGAGCTACAAACAAAAGAACATTGCAAACCGGCTTGTTCAGGTGCATCACAATGGCTATATACAGATGTTCAGTTTCTACTAGGAAAATTGCCAGCTGCTCCCCCGGCTTCTCATACCTGGAGTCTCCGGTGTGAGAAATTTTGCCAAACTGTTTCCTCTATTTGGCTGCTAGACATCAGAAACTGAGTGTCAGGGAGCAGTGCAGCCCCTGCCTGCTTCTCAAACCCCAGTTCTCAGTGTGAGGTGCAAGCAGAGGGCTTTGTCCCACTGCTCCCCCTGCTCAGCTCCCAGGCACTGGCTTCCCCTTCACCCCACCCTTCCCCACTTCCCCTTAGCACTCAGCTGAGCAATGTGGGGTGGGGAAACCAGGCTGGGGAAAACCAACCTGAGCCCAGTTCCCAGCTGCAATGGGTTTTAAATCTCTGCCCAGCTGAGTGGCAGGAGGGCGAGAGGGGAAACTGGCCAGTGGGGAAGGAGGAGGGAAAGGGGCAAGGGGAAGCTGACTTGGGAAGGGAAGTGAGCAGTAAGGCACAGTCCCCAGTTCCTTTCCCAAGCCAGGGAAGCCTGGCTTCAGTATGGGGCTGGGGGCTGTGCCTTGCTACTCCCTTCCCTGCTCAGACTGGTGCCCCTTCCCCAAGTTGGGCACTGCCGTGCTTGGTGTAGGGGCAGGGGGCTTTGCCTCAGTGCTCCCAAGCAGGCTGGAGGAGGCTGTTCCCCCACCGTGTTCCCCAGAGACCAGTCTGGGGTAGGCATGTAGGTCTTTTCCTGCTGTTCCACTCCCCCATGGGACTGAGTGGAGCATGCATTGTCATCTCCAGATTTGAATCACCCCAGTCTCAGGAAGGTGTGGAGAGCGGGAGAGAGAGGCTGTCTGCAGTCTGAACACCTCTACTACTCCCTCTTCTGGAAGGATTTCTCTGGTGCAAATTTCTGAGAAATTTCCATGGTAGAAATGACCTTCTGTGCACAACCAATGTCAGTTATAAATGTAGCCTACCACAGATGGCGTTAAAAACTTGCAGAGAGGAAAGAGTGGGGGAGAATGACTAGGAGTCTGGCTTGACAGTAACAAGTCATGGGGGGGCACTGATGTTGCAGCTGGGAAATATTCAGGAACCAGACAATCTCAGAAACTTGGAAATTGAGTCAGAAGTTTTTTTGTACCCACCAGCTTTTAACTTGTAAGACTAATTCACAACAGGATCATTTTAAGGTTGATGCAGTTCTTGGGGTAAATCTTTTAAAAAATCGTATTGTGAACTGTTTCTGTATTGGATGGAAATTTTGTTATTGAAAGACAGAATTTTCATTTTAAAATCACTTTGAACATTTGGCTTATTTATTGCTTTCTTTATTTCCATATTAGCCACAGTCCCCACCCCTAACCCCTACTAGTTTATACACATCCAGTACTCCTAATGGGTCCCAGTATCCCATATTCTCCATTGAACCAGTGCATTATTGCATGAGTGACATAAAAACAGGGAAGCCCAGAATTCCTTCTTTCAGAAGCCTCAAAAGAGGGGTAAGTTTGATAATGAGTTGAAAATGCATGATGGGCTATGAGCAACGTGTTTGTGATGTGGCTTTTCTAATACTCTCCACCCTCATTATAAGGCTCATACTATATTAAATACACTCTGATAAAAGATCACTTTCAGGCTATTTTGCTTCCTTCTGTGTAGAAGTTACTCTCATTTCAAAAACTCTTCTTTATAACATGCAAAATGGTTGGCTCTAAAAGAAGGGTGTTATAAGGAGGGTGCTGGGTATGTGTTTGATACCTTTTATTTTGTTGTTGTTCACATTCACAACTGTCTTACTACCATTATGTAATGTTTTTTTAAAATGATATATCATTGGCTGTACAGGCACCCAAAAAAGAAACTGAGAAATGTCTTTTTTGCTAATTATAATTCAAATAGTAGAGACTGATTCTCAGAAACTGAAATAAGGGGGAAGTATCCATCTCTCTATAGTTGATATGCTGTAGTGTGCAGTATTTACAGATGTTAAAGCATCATTCATTTTTTATAATGCATTATAATCTTTTAATGCAGTGTATTACTCTTAGTAGTTAAATTGCTTTTGTTTTTCAATTAAAAAAATACCTTCCATCAATTTTAATTAATACTGAATGCCATTTTCTTGGTTTCTATCAGGGAAATGCATTTTCTAATTTATAATGGCATATTCTGCAAATGGGATCTGTTCTGAGGACAATAAAATTGAAAAGTTGAGTGGTTTCCTAGCAACATATGTAGTACTAGTGATAAATGAACCAGCATGATCCCATTATGTTAGTGAAACAGTCTGCCTCATTTATGTAAGATTTATAGCATTTATTGATCCACATAATCAGAAAATTAGATACATATGGATAGATTTAGTTCCCAATTTTTATGGTATTAAAGAAAAGATAAGCCTTCTGTTTCATGCTATATATCAGCCATGGCTTGATTATATTGATCTAGAGCAGAGATCAGAGTCCAGCATGTCACTTGGTATTCAGGTTAATGATTAAAGGAGCTCTGACTCTTATTGTTAGTTACATTTTAGTTTATTTTAAATTTACTTTAACTTACTCCAACTAGTGCCAGCCGAGATCAAGCCTATAGCTATCCATAGGCCTTCTCTTGGTACCTACATCCCAGGTTGCATAGGATCTCTATAGTCATCTAAATTCTTTATGGAAGAATGGTTTCTCCTTTCCTTTCCTGTCAATTTATCTTATTTTTTTCTGGCCAGAAGGGTGTAAGGACCATTTGGAGTGGATGGTGAAATAACACCAGTCTCTATCATTTCCCTTTTTTCCTAATTACTGATCATGCCAGCTACTAATTCAAGAAGCAAGACCTGGTTGCAGTTTTACCCAACTACAGTCTCTTATTGAAAGCAGTTTGGTGGCAGCTGCATTAGTGTGTTCTGAAGAGATGTCTGCTTACCTGCTATTTTGTAGTTTATAACTGGTTGATCAAAAGTAAAACAGAAGAGTTAGTGAATGCAATGTAATGTGGCATTCCTATAAAAATAACAAGAATCATTAAGCTCAGTGCCCTGCAATATCAAATATTAGTCTATCTTTTGTAAAGCTGCAGAGTAGCTAGTACAAATAAAATAACTGAGCATACATTTACAAATATTGCTATATCATGCAGGAACGTTAATCATGTATTATGTAATATTATCACGTACTGAGGAAACAGATACATTCTGCTGCAAGCTAAACAATTTAACAGCCTTTATTGGATTGCCTATATCATGTAGCAGTTTAATATTTTTACATATTCTGATTGAAAGTTAAATTTTAAAAAAATATTGTATAATGTCACTGTTATCACAATACAGTGGTTTCTACTGTTTGTAGCAAACAAAACATTTTCTGAATGGTTTTAACACCCTCTGCTATCAATTTGCATCTTAATTTCTCTCATTTTTAATTGAAATTCTTCTGTAAATTGGCATATAAAAGGTCCAGGAGCTGAACACGTTACATATTTTGCTGACCTGCCCTGCACAAGGTTTTACTCAAGAAACATTTGAACAACAACATAAAACAGTTAACTGTTCTCATTAGGGTCTATGCTTCATGCATCAAGACTCCCCATCAGCAAGTGTGCATAGAAAACAAAAACCACTGTTCACTTTTACCACTTCCCATACAAAATTGTGCATAACTGCTTGAGTACCTCTGTGTTTGTATTAAGGAAAAGAAAGAATGCAAATCTCATTATCTATTATAAACAAAGGGAAAGCAATGGTACAAACCAGACTCTTCAGCTAATGGTTAGTGCTACATCAGTGTTATGTTAATTAGTAAATTATATTGTTGTTCCAGTTTTGAAATGTTCAGTGAATTTAGTGCTTGAGAGGGGTGCCAGCTTCAGATTAATCAGAACTGAAATCTCAGGTTCAGAGTAAGTCTTATCAGAAGCAGCAGAAGTATAAGCTACACCCACGTTTCATTGCCAGTGTTCCTTAGCCCACATCTGGGCAGACTGCCTCTAGAGATTATAGTTCCGTTTCCATCCTCGCAGCATACTTAGACTTTATTGTGGAGCTAGGGTGTCATTTGAAGGTGCCTGTTTAAAAGGTTCCCTTCTCCTTACTAGAGAGTCAGACAAAGCAATACCTCTACTCTTTCATGCGTCACTGGTCCGTAGTGGTACATGAAGGATTCTGGTTACAGCTAATGTGGTGAATATATGAACTACTGAACAATCATACAGTGCTCTGCTGGAAAGGTTCCCACAAGTTTGGTAGGTTCACCTTGAGTGTCACAGGTCCCGGGGATGCTGCACCTTGCTAGAGCCCTGCCATCCCAGTGCAGTAGTCCAACCTGGCATGCTGCATTTGTTTTCTCTGAAAGCAAAGTTTTGTTCACTCTATCAGTTCAGCTACTTATTTTGAATAGGGCAGCAATAATCAAGTGTACAGCTAGGAACGTAGGGCTGGAAGGGGCCTGCTGGACCATCAAGAAAAATAAAATGAAACTATTAAGCTTGAAGCTATTGAAAAAAGATTTGGTGCCATCAACAGGAAGCCTCTCCATTTTGTATGTTGGGACAGTAACACTCTTAAAAAGGATGGCAGCGTTAACTAGCCAGAATTACCAAATGTCTTTATATATAGTGGGCAAGCCTTTCATCTTCATCAATTTCTGCTGCTTTGTACAGTGTTTGCTGTATGTTTTGCTTTTCTTGTAATGTAGAAATATATTTGCGTATTGCTGGAAATACTACAATTGAGAAGTTGTTAAATGTAGCCATGCCTGGTAATTCCACAAGATAAATTAACCATTAGCATTTAGTGCAAACTTTATTTGCCAGTAACTTTCTCTGTGAAGCTCACTTCACACAATTGTATTTTGCTAAAAATTGTGTTGCTAGTAAAATGAATCTTAGTTTTGAATTAGTGAAACTATTTAAATTTTTTTAATTTGAAAGCTATATTTTAGGAATAAACCTTCGTCTGACTAAATGATGGTTGCATGAGAATAATTTCCCATTTCTTTCTGTTTTCAATTGAACTGTTCAGTGGTCGGTGAAGATGGTAAGCCTGTGTGCTGATCTGTCTGCTGTACTTCTGCTAAAATAGCATGAAAGTAACCTCTTGAAATTGTTTCCATATCATAATTGCTTTGAGTCAGGTGCTGAAAACATTTGCAGATTTTTCACCTTGTATACATGATTTTTTTTTGGGATCATCCATGCTCTATGTGAACTAATTAGATATGTGATCTAGCTGTAATTAACTGATTTTGGAGTTAAGGTTAAAAAATTTTATGAGTTGGTAATAATGAAAATATATTTAATGATTTATCATGGATTGATAGCAAAGCTCTTAACTATGTAAATTACTTACGTGAAAGGAATATGTAAGTTTTATAAAGAAGAAACACGAATAGAAAGGAAAATTGGTCTTACAGAATTTTTATAGCAGTTGCAAGGGAAATACTGTATTCCAGATGCAGTGCACAGCTGTTGCAGTGACTGAAAATTCCAGAGCATGCCTATTACTGTGTATTTAGTAAGAGGGCTCTGCTGTTCTGATTTTACTAGAGGGTACCACCAAAGTTAATTTGTAAGGAGAGGCAGTGGTAACTTCAATGTATTCATCCTTTTTTCATTTCTTATTATATTAAAAAAAAAAAAAAAAAAAAGCCTGAAAGGATTTTTTCTGCAAAAAAAGTGCTAATGGTTGTGCATATTCTATGCTAGAGACAGTGGTTTTTGATTTCCCTGCTTTTCTTGGATGACTTGAAAAAACTTTTTTGTGATATCACAAACACCAAGGAGCTGCAAATAAGCAGTTAGAGGAAAAGTAATTTTTTTTAGACAAACAGTTTAAAACATGGGGTTGGTTTTTGTGAGTCAGTGCTCATTTAACTCAGAATCCTCACATGGTTAGAAGATGTGCTGTCCTTATTAAATTTTCCTCCTTGCAGGTCACCCTTTAATGGCTGTTCCTTTTTCTATGCTTAAAACTATTGTCTAAATAACTAGGGCCTTCAGTGTAACATTTTTAGTAATTAGTATTATGAACTCTAAAACATGAACCTGATCTTTTCCCCCAAAAGCATGCATTCCTACTCCTTCTGTATGGAGACATGTATCTGTCACTAAGGTGTGAGCTTTTGGCAGAAACCCCTTTACAAGGGTATTCATGTGCACCCACATAATTAATTGATAGGCCTACTCATCCTGTATTAAGCTGTGATAAGGTCACTGTCCCCTCTGCAGGATTGGGTCCATGGTGGATATTTTTTTAACTTACATAGTAACTTAAAGCTAACATGACTTGAGTGCTTGAAGTTAGTTTTATGCAAAATTTCACTATTAATGGGCAAGCAACAAATTGCTCTTCTTCCAGAACTTCCTACTGTTAATTAAAACAGAAAAATGACTTGAAATGCTTCAGTAGGTTTCATTTAGTGCAGTCTGATTAAACGGTTTTGATGTTACTAGTGCCATCTATATATTGTATAAACTTCATTTCGTTCCTGGTAAAATTTTAGCTTACATTTACAATAAATAAAGCAGGACCTAATGAAGGACTTAGACATACATGTGTTAAAAATTATTGTTCACGTACAGGAGTTGGTGACATTTCTTCTTAAAGATAGCCTATGGTGTTACAGACCAATTTATTAAAGGGAAATAGTATATGATTTGGGATGAATATCATACTTGTGTTGTTTTTCTTTTGATAGTAGAAACAGACAGACCAGGGAGATAGCAAACCATATACTCAGTGTTTTTCTGGTTTTTAGTTGTAGCTGGAATTATGGTTTGATACAGTAGTTAATGCTTCCTGTTCTTAGCTTATGAACTCTGCTCTTTTTGTAATGGCTGGAAGAATTGTGGTTTGGCTTCTCTGTTTAAATATTTATGGATTATAAATTATTAATGAACCCAGCCCAGCTGTCATTAAAGGCAGAGGCAGCATTCCTCTTGACCTGAGTCTGACACTACTGGGTTGTAGGTCTGGGTGTATGTACAAAAGAATTTGCCACAGTTAAATATCATTTTAACAGGAGCATACAGTAAGTTATCCTGGGAATACTGGTGATGGGGTGTAATCCACCGAAATGAAGGCAATTTAGGTAGTTTAATAACTGCACATAAAACTGTTTTTGTTTGTTGATGTTGCTGAGGGTCAGTAAATGATTACTGCTATTGTGAAACTTCCTTTGAATTGACATTTTGTTTGTAAGTTTTGTTGCTTTTCAAGTTGACCACATTGGTCACTGGCAAACTAAGTTTGCATGGTGTAAACTATAAAACAGAGAAATATAGTCTCTGCTTCCTCACAGCTCACAAAAGCTATTAAGTCAGTTTTCTGTTGGTGTGTATGCTAGGTCAGCTAACAGTCTATGTGTGTGTGACTCCTGGCATACATAGATTTTTCTCATTTGTTATTTTGACAGTGTCCAAAACTGTCCTTGGTGCATCAGCATATGGATTGGATTAGAGGTTGTCCCTTTCCCAGACGTGTCCACTTTAAATTCAGACATGAAGTGACAGAACAAAACAATATGGCAGGGACAAGGGAGGGAAGTGCTTAGCATTTTGGCAGTAAAAACGCACATTTACTAGTTTAGGTGTTTGTCAACAGATCTGTGTGTATAGCATAGTTGCTAAGGAGGTTCATCCTGCTGCCTCACTTCAGTGAACACTGTTTGTGTGTGGATTGTTAGTAGCAATAACTATAGGAAGTTTAGTCTTTGCGTGTTTGATAACAGTGTTTATCCTTGCAGGGCCCCGCACTGGAAGATTTCAGCCACCTGCCCCCAGAACAAAGACGTAAGAAGCTGCAGCAGAGAATCGATGAACTTAACAGAGAACTCCAGAAAGAAACAGACCAGAAGTAAGTGTGATGCTTACAGATCAGTTTTTCACCTATTTCTTTCTAGTTTTCTCATTTGAGCCAAAAGGGTTTTAAAGTTAAAGTGCTCTAAGTGGTCTATCCACCCTTTGAATCTGTTAGTGTCTATGCTTTATGGTCACGTGGTTTGTTGTTACAAGTCTTCTCTGTTTTTAATGGCAATTTTTGTATTACCCATTGTGAATACTGTATGTGGTGTTACAGGTGATCAGCACCTTTGAAAAGCAGGTCTGTCGCCTGCTTTTGGTGCATCCCCTTAGAAAACCTGGGTAATTAGAAACCCTTTAGAAATTAGCTTTTATAGGAAAAGCTGAGAGAGGTGGGTTTAGAATAGATTATAGTGAAGAGGAGGTAGGGAGGAACCAACATTTTCACTGTCTGTGCACAGAGTACACAAAGACACTGGGAGGGGAAGCAGAATGCTGGTGTCTGCCCTTGGAGAAGAGCTAAGAGGAGTGAAAGTTGAGGAGACAGGAATGCTTTCCTCATCCTTCCTACCCTGAGGGCGGTAGTGCCTTGGAGCAGGGAGGAGCTTATATTTATAGTTATCCTTTCCAATGCTTTGCTTAATTAATCAGTACTGTTATTTATTACTTGTAATACTGTAGTACCCCGGAGCCCTAGTCATGGGCCAGGCCCAGGTGAATAAAGTATTGCTTGAACAATCATCCCTTTAGGTTTATGGGACTGAGAGAGATGTGCTCATATTGACAGTGTGTCCATGTATCTTATTACAGAGATGCACTTATCAAAATGAAAGATGTTTATGAAAAAAACCCACAGATGGGAGATCCAGGCAGTTTGCAGCCAAAATTAGCTGAGACCATGAGCAATATGGACCGTCTTCGAATGGAAATACACAAGAATGAGGTTAAACACCTATGAAGCTCTTTCATGGAAGATGCGTTGAAACATTATTTTCCCCAGTGATTACAAACAGTGGTCAGAAATTTACTTGGTTTGAAGAAGTTGGCTTGACTCAGTTTTCCATAGAGTGCTCTTCCTTCCCTCCTTTACATATATCCATAGCTCAATGGAGAAAATATATACTTGCTTGTCAAAAATGCTAAGTAAAACTTTACAATAAATCTACATCTCACACTTTTTCTGTTATTTGTGTTAAGTATTTCAAAGTGAGGGCTTCTGACATTTTCTCAAAACCAACTACTGAGAGTATTGGCCAAACTGAGGTGATAGCCTTGATCTTCAAGCAGAACAGCAGGAATGAGGGTTTGCATGAAGATACGCAGTATTTAACAAACAACAGGGATCCATTTTAGCATGTAAACTCCATTCTCTGAAGTGTGTTGAAGAACTAAACTTGGTGATATGGAGCATTTGCTGGTTCAGAATGGATTTTCTGTTAATAGTGACTCTGGTTGTTTTATGTTTTCTTGAAAGGCTTGGCTTTCTGAAGTTGAAGGTAAAGTAGCAGCAAGAGGTGACAGGCGGCACAGCAGTGACATCAACCATCTTGTAACACAGGGAAGAGAGAGGTCATTATTTCAGCTGTCCTTCTGTTGAAGCTATCTTGAATTTCTCGGTTGTTTTGGATGTTATTGTTATAGCTACAACCATATGGTCTCTACGCAGCAGTGACTCTCCTTAGAACTCTCAAGTTTCCAGATATGTTGTATATCTAGGCTTGGCAGAATTGATTTTTTTTTTTTTTTTTT